CTAGTGCAGAGACAGGAAGGAACAGGGCAGAGAAGAGGGGCCTGGGGTTAGGTGGTTAGCGTGCAGAGATCAGAGGATCAGCAGGCAGGAGGCTGGCATCACGGGCCACTCACGTCCTGCCCGGACATGTCCCAGTAGGGCCGCTCCCCGAAGGCCATCACCTCCCACATGACCACGCCGAAGCTCCACACGTCGCTGGCAGAGCTGAAGTGGCCGAACTGGAGTGTCTCGGGGGCAGCCCAGAGAGCCGGGCTCCGGCCACTCTGTGGGCAGCAGCAGGTCGGGGTGGGAAGAAATGGTTTCCCCTTCTGCCACCACCGTCCATGGAGCCCCACGTCAGCCACAGCTGCCCTTCTCCCTGGGCAACCCACCCTCCTTCAAGCTGGCTCCCGAGGGGCAGGGGGTGGTGTCCAGGCCCCTGTGTGAGAGGCAGCAGTGGGGCTGGCCTGGCCCTGACAGGCAGGATGATGCCAGGGAGGTGGGGCGGGGGGAGGGGGCAGTCTGAAGTGGGCAGCTGGGCCAGGGAGGGTCCTTACCATGGTGGTGTAGACAGCCTCAGCGCGGTCCCGGGGGCCGCGGCCAAAGCCCGAGAGCTTGCAGAGCAGGCCGCTGCTGAGGAGCACGCGGCGGGCCGCCAGGCCTCGGTGCACGTAGCCCATCTCCGACAGGTACTTCATGGCCGACGCCAGCCCCGGCAGCAGCCCCATCAGCTGCCCTGCTGCCAGCTGCCCCTCATGCCGCTGTCGAGGGGGGACACTGAGGCTGTGGCTGTGCATGTCCTTCAGCCCTCTCTGGGCTCCAGCTGACCCCCAGGAGCCCCCCAGGCCAGCCTGCCCAGTGGACACCATTTAAGGAGTGGTGCTAAGTCCCACCATAGAGAAACGTGGGGCAGGATACGGGGTGGTGGGGTGGGGGCAGGGGCAAGACCAGCGTGGGTATCAGGACCTCCACCCCCCAGGACCTAGGGCACTCACCCTGAGAAAGCCGTCCAGTGCCCCGTGGCTCATGAACTCGGTGACAATCATCAAGGTGCTTCCTGGGCCCAGGGAAGGGAACACATGCATGCTAAGGGATCTGCTCCACCCCACCCACCACCCACGCACGTGAAAGCTCCCTCACCCAGGTCCCAGGCTGGGCCAACACAGCCAGAACCCAGACCAAGCCTGGTCCTCTGTCCACAACCACCCCTGCCCGGTACTGTACACAGCCCAGAAGAGGGACTGGCCACAGGGAGAGAGGTCACGGTTAGCAACTGTAAGACGTTTGCTAAGAAATGTCACCCCAGGTCCAAGTAACTTTTCTCCCCCCTCAGGTTGTCCCCACAAGTCAGACAGGCCTAGGTCAGAGAGACCAGTCCCCCAAGCCAGTAAAGGGGAACTGATATCCCCATGGGGACCCACACTGGGCAGTTTCCCACGAGGAAAGGGTGAAGATGAGCAGAGGTGCCCCCCCCCCCACCATGCCCCGGGGCTGGGCAGCAGGGCAGAGACTTGAGCCCTACCTCGGGTGACGACACCCTCCAGCCGCACGATATGGCTGTGGTCAAACTGGCCCAGGGTTAGGGCCTCGGCCAGAAAGCTGAGCCTCTGAGAGTCCGAGCAGCCGTCCCTCAGCATGTGCACGGCCACCGGCAGCTCCTGGCGGCCGGGCAGCTGCAGGCAGCCGCAGTACAGCTCCCCAAACCGGCCTGTGGGGAGACGGCACCTCAGGACACCCCACGTCCTGCCCCACGGCCAGTCTAGGCATAATGACCTTGGGCCTCGCTCACCTTGGTTCCCTTCTCTGTGAAGTGGGGGCGCAGCCCCCCCACCCCTGTTCCTCCACTACCTGAGTGGTGCCTATGCCTCAGAGGGGACTCTGCGAAGACGGCCATGCCACTAAAGCTGCCCACAGTCCTGGGGCTCAGGCCACTAAGGCAGGGGGTGGGGTCGGGCCCCTGGAGAAAGCAGCCAGCCTCCTCTGAGCCAGGAAGGCAGCCGGCAAGGAGGGGACCCAAGGGAGCACAGCCCTGACAGAGGGCCAGGATCTATCCATGCAGGGGCCGGCTGCCCCCTGCAGTGTGGTACGAAACCCATTCCACAGCCCAGAGCCGAGGAGAAGTATGCCCCTGGTCATGCAGCTAGTCAGTGGCAGGGTCAGGGCAAGAACCCAGGGGTGCCTGGTGCCCGGTCTGGCAAAGGTCCCTGCTCACTGTCCCCAGAAGGCCTGGGCTGCTGACAGTCA